TCAGTGATGGCATTGAAGAAATTTAAGGCATTGGGTGATTTGAATGATTTTCAAGAGATTGGTCAAGGATGAAAATGTATACAGGGCAGTTGGTGAAGCCATGTCATGTGACCATTGTTGAGGTGTTATATGAGGGAGGCAATGGTTGTTTGCTGATGTTGGTTGTGTAGAGGGTGATGTTCCAATGTTAAGCATAAATTAATTGCAGAAAATGAACTTCAGATTGGAGAGCCATGTTACCTTTGAGTGAAGAGGAGATTCCATTGAAAGTGAAGGCTGAGTTTGATTCCATGTTTAGTGATGAGTTATACTCTGGAAAAGATTTTAGGGTGACATTACCAGTTAATAAAACAATAAAACTGTAATTTTGAGGAGCTTGTTCAGTACCTTATTCAATAAAGAATCAAACTTAGAAGAAACTTGATTGACTAGGGAGACTCTGTTAGAAAAAAAGAAATCCTGTTGGGATGCACCCATTATGCTTGCACTCAAAGCCAATACTGCAACTGTTTGATCAGATGTAGGACTATAAACAATCAATGAACAGGTTTGCATCTTGTAACACATCTAATACCATCTACTTTAAAAAAGAAATTTAGTCAGCTTGATTTGGTTATGTGCCTCTGCAACTCAGGTTAGATGAAGAAACACAAGAACTGATATTTTGTGATGGATTTTGTTACTTCATTTATAATCACAGGGGAATTATGTTTGGAAAGTAGAAATGCTCCTGTAGTGAGTAAGATATATAAATGGCTAGGGAAATCATTACTGAATAAAAGCCATATTTTAACAAGCAAGAAGGATTGAGTTGTGAGCATGGGGAAGTTGGATGGTCAAGCCTCTTAATTTGAGGTTGAATATAGTTTCATCAAATCCATGTGGAAATAGTATATGTAGTGGCTAAATCTTGATGCTAATATTGAACTGACATGCAAAGCATGTGAAGTATCTATTGAAAGGAAAAGAAGCTCTAATAGAGCGCCAATTCATATCCGGGTAAGTAGGCCATTGGGAAGCATACACATGGATTTTGCTGGTCCATTATATTCTTTTTGATGGGACATATAGTCTTGATTGTTGGTGATGTGTACTCTAAATGACTGAATTTTATGTCATGGAAGAATTTGCTGCTCCTTGAAGATAAGAGGAATCTTCACTATGCATGATCTATTTGCGATATTAGTAAGTGGTAACAGTCCTTGTTTCATGAATGTAGAGTTGAAATTGTTTATGAAGTTCAGTGGTATTCAGTTTCACCCATTTTGAATGGTAAAGCTGAATGCACTGTTAGTTTATTCAAAAAAGGCAATAAAGAAAATGCAATGTGAACAGAAAATGGAGAGTCAAAACTAAAGTCAGCAGGTTCTTGGTTTTGTTCAGAGTTATTCTGCATTCAACAACTAGAGATTCTGTTGAATTATTTAAACATCAGTTCTGAACAGCTACTGAAAGCAAATGCACATCATAGAGTTTAATATATATGGAATGAAGGACAAAAATTTTACATCTTTTCCATGAATTTAAAGTTGATGATTGTGTTCTTACATAGAATGTTGAAAGCTGGTGAATATTAGATAGAAGGCAAGTAGGTAGGAGCATAATGAAATGATATTTAGATCAACATCTGATGTTCCTACCCAAATTGGTTATGGTGTTGGTGCTTGATGATCCTGTTGTTACAGAGCCGGAAGTTCCAGAATTTTATCTCTAGTCATAGACCTCAAATGAACTCTGTTTGATGACTACATAAGTGGGAGCTATAATTGTTAGAGATAGTTTTGTTGGAAGACTGCATATCATGAGGACTTAAATACTGTGTGTTTCCAGAAAGCAAGGCATTTTCTACCAATGTCATTAGCTGTTTCTCAGCAATATCCAAATTTAATCAAGTGAACATGCTTGCATATTTTATAATAAAATAATTTTGCTTAAAAATAAAACATTATTTTGGGTTTTATATATTTTTTATTATTATGCAAATTTTCCCTAGCGAAAGTTACCTGCAGGAGGCTTTGAATACAAAGTGATATTGTTATGGTAAATTGCAATATACAGTGCTGTTTGATAAAAGTGACTCACCTGATTTTTTTTTTTACTAAATGTTCTCTTCTCCGATGAAACGAAAGTTGAGCTAAATTTAAAGGATAAGTGATCTAAAATCTGAAGAAGCTTTGAAAGCTCTTTGAATTTAGCAGTAAGTACTGTCAAGCATCTGTTCAGTATAATGTTCTGGGGATGCTTTACTTTTCATGGAACTGGTTTCTTAAAACCTATTGAAAAGACCCTCAGGAGCGAGCAGTACAAGAGAATTTTATTCTTTTCTGCTGAAAGGGTGCAAATTGATCCCACCAAGCTCATTTTTATGCAGGATAATGTTCCCTGTCACAAATCAAAATTTGATGAAGGAATACTCTGATGAGAAGCAGGAGAGTATTATGATATGGGCGCTCCAATCTCCTGACCTCAGCCCCATAGAAAACTTATGGAGCATGTTGCTCAACTACTTTCTCAAGAGCCTGTATTTTATAATGCTCCATAAGTTTTCTATGGGGTCGCCCATGTCATAACACTCAACTGATTCTCATCAAAGTATTTTTCATCAATTTTGATTTGTGACCGGGAACATTATCCTGCATAAAAATGAGCTTGGTGGGGTTGATTTGCACCCTTTCAGTAGAAGGGAGCAGAAAAGACTCTAAAATTTCTTTGTACTGCTCGCCCTGAGGGTCTTTTCAATAGGTTTCAAGAAACCAGTTCCATGAAAAGAAAAGCATCCCCAGAACATTATACTGAACGAATGCTTGACAGTACTTACTGCTAAATTCAAAGAGCTTTCAAAGCTTCTTCTTCGGATTTTAGATTGCTTATCCTTTGAATTTAGCTCAACTTTTGTTTCATCAGAGAAGAGAACATTTAGTAAAAAAAATCAGGTGAGTCACTTTTAGCGAACAGCACTGTATGTGCTAGTTAACAATTAAGCTATTTGATTTTTTTCCTTTGATAGAACTTTTTTACAACTTTATTATTACCTCTGTCCTATAAAGGTCATTATATTTAGTATATGAAATATGCATATGAATATAACAATTATTCTATTTTTTCTTATCTTGTTTTTCAAGTAATGTTTGTCAATTACCTTGTTTTAAATATTTAAATGTACTCTTTGAATGGAGCAAAAATAAACTTGCATCTGCATGTAATAGATCATCTTTTCAAAGTATTTTGTCTGTGCAAACTAAAAGAATGTCTGTCTGAAACAATTTTCAATTGAAACAAGAGAATAGTACAAGAATTATGGGTGTAAATGTTAAATTGCTTGTTGAGTGTCAAGTTACAAACTTAGTATAAAATTCTTGCAAGCTTTGAAATTCGTTCCTCTCTTGCAAAGTGGGTTTTACATAACATTATTTTTTTTTTTAATTGCTTCAGAAACTACACAACCTGTTGCTTTACTCTTCACTATTGAATGTTGGAGTAATGCTGTGATAGTAAATGTATTCTCTTCTTTAATATAAAAATGCTGCTGTTGATGAAAAGTTGACTTTCTGGATGAGGAAATTTTTATTAATTTACTCCACTGTACTTGAACATAATGATGTATGTGTTTAGTCTACATTTCCCTTGTCTTGTTGCAATCATATCATATGAATCAGATTGCTTTTCTTGTTACATAAAATATAAATTGGAGTGTTTTTGTTTTTTTTCATGTTATGTCAAGAGAATGCTAAAATGCAACCTATACGTATTAATTTTAAAGATTGAATAATAAAAACAGATTGCTCGTCATTTGTAGTTAAAATAAAAATCAAGTCCAAAGAGTTTCTCTAATTTGGGTGTGGTTGGTACCAAAATCCATGACACCTAGTGCTGTGCTGATAACTTTAAATTTTGGAAGTATTTTGATATGTGTGTACAAAAGTACTAAAATTCTCCGTTTTTAATTTTGTTTGAATTAATTTCCTTTATTTTCATTGACAATGTTAAAAAAGGGGAGCAGGTTTTTCTCTGTGGGTGTGTGGAGACGGAACAGGGTGAATGGAAAAGGTAACACCATAACCAACAGCATATTGTGGTAGGTGCAATTGTATAATTTCAGCAGTTTCAAGAACTGTACTAACCACAATCATATGCATACCTGTATTTGCATTATTAGAAACAGCCAGAACATATTGATGTTTTATCTGTTATAATGGTGAAATTATTATTATTTTCATTTTTAATTTGTTTAAAGATTATAAAAACTCATAAAAATTGCAGAAATTTATCCTCTCAAAATAGCTTGAAAAAAAAGAAGCAATTAGCGATTGATCCTCAATCAGAAAATGATTCTGATTTATGAACCAAACTTAATAGTTAATTTAAAATTTAAAGTACTTCTTCCCCCAATAACACATGTATATTGGACATGAGACTATAACTAATGAAAAATACTTGAATAGCTTGCAAAGATTTTAGTACAGGTGTATGAAAATACCAAATTTTTAGGCAGGTAGTATTATGCTGATATTTATAATGTTTTGGAATTTGCTCCCCCTGACATCCCAGGTATAATATTATTAGCAAGATTCATTATCAAACCCATGCTTCAAAATGAAGTGAAAAAAAGATTTTGGGGTTATATCTTACTATTTTATTTTTTTTTTTTTTTTTAATTATTGCATATAAACCTAAACAGAAAATATATTTCTTTCCTTTTTCTAACTGGGAAGATAAATTCTGAAGTATTGTTTCATAAATTTCTTTTTTCTTTAATGCTACCAAGACAAATATTGGTGATTTGTATTTATTATCTTATACTTCTCTTACAGACCGTGTGAGTGACTGGGCAGTACACTGTGTGCGTGTGTGCTGCCACCATGCCAGTACTGACCAACCCACCCCACGTGGAGAACAATAACAATAACAACAACAATAATAACAACAACAACCAGGTTCGCAACAATCTGGCCACAGTGGCTGCTGCCACGGCTGCTGCTGCTGGAGTACCGCCTGGTGCCATGGGACGGATACAGCAGCAGCAGCAACAGCAGCAGCAGAATAACCCTTTCGTCAATGCACGCGATAGACTGTTTCACGCTCTCTTCTATAGAATCGCTCTTGCTTATGCCAGAACTTTCCCCGTGTCTTTCAGAAGAGGATTTGAGTTTATTATCCTTCTTAAGGTAAGTGTTTCAGTTTTGTAAAATTATTACTAAACTATAACCCTCATCATCCTTGCTGATGAATTACCTGTCTTGAATTCAACAAAGATAAAGTAGAAATTCTCTATAGTCCATAATACATTATTTTGGTGACATCTTAAGTATTGATTTGTTCATAGAACATGCTACCATCTTGAGTCATAACAAAGATTTAATTCAAATAAAGACAATGCTGCTTTTTGAATATTCTTTCTTTCTATTCCCTCCTCCCTAAAAAAAGTTATAACTTTAGAGATCAAAACTTGGCACAACGTAGTAAAAAAGATTGTGGAAACTTATTTTATTTATCCTCAGAATAATATTTAAAAGACCTACAATTGAAGTTAAGCAGATAAACTGTGGTGTTTATCTCCAACTTTAGGATGATTTTGTCTTTCAATTTTTAACAAAGAATTAAAATGAAAGGTTATGATAGTTTTTCCTCCTAACTTGTCTGTACTGAAATTAGCAGACTGTCAGTTTAATTGTAGTTTTGACATTCAGTCAAAATGCATGTTACTTTAGATTTTTCTTGTAATTAAATATTTCCCAATCCTAAATAAATGGTAAACAAATCTAATAGTTTCTGATCCTAAGAAATCAAGGAATTGTTTGCTTGAGTAACTTTTGGTAAAGGAAATCATATTTTGTAAAACTATTCATGTGTCACTTGTAAAATTTGTAATTATTTTGTTTTTATTTAATGTATTTATTTGAATAACAAAGGAAATTAATTTTTTCAATTGTCTATATGGTTGAGTAATTATAGTGTTGAAGTATAAATTGCTTTTTCTTTGCCAAAGATTTCCTGTAACTGCTGGATTATTAACAAATGACTTCTTCAATGCAACAGGTCAACTAGTAAGCAATGAAGCATAAATATTTTTAGCGCTGACTAGTTTGGAGATTTTTTTTTTTATTTGTAGATTTTGACCAGGGATTTAAATGTAGATGATATTATCCTTCCTAACATTCTGAAGTACAGAGGAGAAAGTCAGGGGTTGAGTCACTACGAAGAATAAATAGTAGTGGTTGGAAAGATCTTAGGGATTAACTCTGAAAATATTTGGTAACTATAGCAATAGTCAGCATTTAGAGAAGGAGTTTTTCAATGTCGGGCTCTAATCCTTTGATATTAATTGGGCAAGAAGCAAGGGTTTGTAGAAGGCTGAAAGAATACATAGCCATATGAAAAACTGCTTGTCATGAGATAGAGAAAACATTCTTGAAAATAAATTCAAGATACTGAAAGAAATAATGCTCATCCATTAATAGTTAAATGAAATGTAAGTTGAGCACAGGTAATTAAAGAATTTACATGGTCACCTTTCAGCTGATTTAAAAATAGTTTCTTTATTTTTGTTCAAAAGTTGGTAGAACTCTTAATTTATTTCATACCTGAGATGATTGTCAATATTCATGTATTATTTGGAACTATAGAACAATAGTTAGGAATAATGAAAGAATATTGGTAGAACTCTATTAATTATCAGTTAAAATTTTCTTGTATATTTTAATAACCATTGTATCCCTTGAATATGTTATGACTGCCAATCATGATTTTGTTTTTGTTGTTAGTCTAAAAAATTATAGATGTAAACATTTTTCCTGTATAAGCTGCAGATAAATATTGTTTATATGTACAATCAAGGCTGGAAAATGTTAAATTTATGAAAATTAAAAAAAAAAAAAAATGTTCTAAGACACAGGTGTTTCTCCTACATGGCAGCTGAAGACTAACTTGTGTTGCTTGTTAGTAAATGTTTCACAATTCTACAGCTGATGAATGAATGTTTAACAAAAACTGGTCTCAGCTTAGAAGATAGCTATACAAACTCTGTTCGAGAGAGAGTGAAGAAATTGAATGAATATGCTCCAGTCTTGCCAAGGTCAGATAAATATAGTATTGTGACAATAATTTTTATCATTGTGTTGATTTGGCCTTGTTCCAGACTAAGCTAAACTTATTATCTTGTGTTGATTGCAATAAATATTTTTTTGAATACTTTTTGATGTCGGGTAGATTAAAAAAAAAAAAAGACTGAAATATTTTTCTTTCTCTCATTTATTCACTGCTGTGTTTGATATAGATCAGAAAAATAAACATTTGCCTACTGTCATTATTAGTTCTAGAATCAAAAACCCTAAAATATTCAAAATAAAAAGAAATTGTCTATATTGTTAATAATATATCTTAAAACAGAATGATTACATATATTTTAATTTTGACTTGTTGCTTTTTTTAATCACATTTTAGCCATTCCATTCTCTTTTCATCAGTGCAAAATCATAATTACCTTCTGATAAGGTACGGGATGTGAGTTATTACTCTTGGAAGTTACATTTATTTGAATATTGTACTATTTATTTTTACAACTGAATACTGAAGTGATTAAAAATGTTGTGATAAAAAGCAAGAAAAAATAAAATTAATCAAAATATTTAATCTCGGGATCTCAAAACAATAAAACATCTCTATATAAATTCACGTCATTTAACTCATTGTACCAACAAAACTTCTCATTCATTGAAAAGAATTAGATTCTTGGCACTTTGTCTAAATAGTGCTTCAGTATAGGGCAATCAGTGACAAGGCTAATTTAGTTAACCATTAGTAGTGATTCTGATCCTCACTTTGTGCCCCCTCCCCATAAAATTTGACATTAAATAATCCATCAAATCAACCCACTAACCAGATTTGCCTAAAGTTATTTCCAGTGGCAATAAATAAAACTTATTAACCAAATTACTCTACTTAGTTTGCTTTTTAAAGTGCTTTTTCCTTTGGTCATAGTGTTTCTGCAATCAACGATTACACAATGATTATTTGTAGGTTGCCTTTTTGGTCATTGATGGCAATTATGATATTATGCTCAGCCAAAATGGTCACTGAACATTTCTTTGGTTGTACAAAGTGAAAATGTTCTTGCTATTGTATTCAGTCTGGAGATCAAGACCATATTCTCCCATGTTATTAAATCAAGTTTCAGCTGCAATCAAAATGTAATCTAGTGGGACTCTGGTTGAGCAATGATTGCACACATGCACACATGACTGCTGTCTTTAACATTAAATTTCCAATAACAATTTTATTTATAGTATCTACACATAGGGTTTTAATTTCACTGAGAAAAATATAGTCTTACAGAATTTGGAGGCAACCAATATTGTAACAGTTCTACATATTATGCTTTGTCCTGGAATATAGGAGGAAGTGAGTAAATCTTTTTCCTTTGAATTCACCGATATATTATTGTATTATTGTCAGGGATTGTATATTTGTTACTGATCAAACAGTATTCATTCAGAAATTGTGTCTTTACAATTTGATATCTTTTCTTTCTATGAACAACCATTGATGAATACAAACCCCCAAAGTGCCTGAACTTTTTTTTACCTGTGCATATTTCTTATAAATATTGTATGGATGTCAACAAGATGATGTATTAAACAAATTTATACATAAATTTTATTGGCTCTGTTTACATTCTTTGTTTGCAAACTAGATGCCTATTAGTTAATACTCAAGGGTTTTTATTTGTAACATTTTCTAGTTACCCCCCACCCAACTTTTTTTTTTTTTTTAAATGATATTTAGGTAAATACAACTCTGACTTTCAAGTAACTTCTCATGACAAGGTCAGAGTTATCTAAAGTTAAGTAGGGATGAAGCAAGTGAGGTTGGTATTTATTTAGTTGTGAATAGTTTAATGCTTTAAGCTATCCACCAGTTCAAACCTTGTCATCACCCTCAGTCTGATTTTATTAATATTTTTAATTATTATTTTTTTATTTATTTATTTTTTTCTTCAGCAATTTACTCCATCCCTCATTAGGATTTAATCAACAATTTTTTTTCTTTTAGCTTTCTCCTAACCTCACATTCCAAAAGAAGTGCTTATCCCACTTATTTCATTTGCTGGCTGTTTCTCAAGCCTCTTTGTTAGAGGGGGTTTATATACCTCAACAAGTAGGTCACACTCACCCTGTTACAATGTTAAAAAAATATAATTTATATTAAGATATAGAACATTGTCTTGATATAAGTTACCAAAATCAGTAATGAGATTTTATAAATTTTTCTTTTGCAGGCTTTGATATTCCTTATGGTGTTTAGTTACATTCACATTGTGTTCACACGTTCACCCATAAACTGTTTGCAAAATGTTCAGAAGACTTGGCCACGCCAAGGCATTTTACGAGTAGAAATTGTGCGCAATGCGTCAGAGAATTATACCATTTTGCATTCATACCGTAAAGAGTACTCGGACCCTAGTTTTATTGTTAACTTACAATCAGAAGAAGAGAAAGCCCAGAGTGCAAAGGCTGAGATTACACAACCCAGTGAGGGACCCCAAAATAACATAAAATCAGAAGAGCAGAGTGAGAATGAAGAATCCCAGACTGAATCGCCCTCACTCTTAGCTTCTGATCCAGTAGAAAAATTGGACAGTAACACCTCAGCAACGTCCTTGCCATCAACACCACTGCAATATTCTGCCAATGATGTTTTGGATTACCAATATGATAGAATCCCCGTGTCCTCTGTGTCTGAGCTGGAGATGTTGGCACGAGCAGGTAAGTCATCCTTCCTGAATAAATTAAGTGTTGGATCACATCCTATCAATATATTACTTTCAGAAAAATATTTTGTTTATGTTTATTGCATTGGAATAAAGTTTCTTGTATCTGATTGGTGTGTTTTTCTCCTCTACACTCACTACCAGTGACCTGCAATACTGTTTTTATTTGCATTCCAAATCATACTTATAGATCGGTGGCCTTGTAAAATCATATATTTGTGGTTTGTTATTATATTATGGCTTGTATGTTTGTGTTAGTATCTTTTTATTTTTTTTTTAAGGTCAAAAAGTTACATATTGTTGTTAATTTCTTTAAGTTATTTTGTTGGTATTTAATGAGGAAAATAGCGCTAAGTTTACAAAGTTTCCGTATTATAATAAAGGATACATTCAAAATCTGGTTTGACTAATTTTTTTCCTTTTTATAATCAACCGTCTATTGTGCTATAAAATGGCATGTGTGTATAAATCTTTCTCTTTGATAGATTCTTTTATGATTGTTACTTTACTCTTTGTAACTTTTCACCATTTTTTTCCCTCTGTTAGTAAAAGCTTAAGTTGAATAAGATAAAAATTGTTCTGCTTTTATATCATCAGTGGTCAAAATTAAGATGATCAAATATTTGATATCTTGTATATAAAGTTTAAAAATGATGGATTAATTATGATTAGCCTCTTCAAATCAGTTTAGGCTTTTTTGTTATTCTTTTAAATATTTGTTATTAAATTTAATCAAAACATTGAATCATGTAAGAAATATAAGTGACAATATCACAAAGAATTTTTTTCCTAATATTCTCACATCAATCTGTAAGTAAAATGCATTTACTAAGTGATTAGGTTTTGGTTACATTCACTCTGACCGCTTCATTCTCTCCATTTGCTGGAAATACGCTAACTTCCTCTAAACTATCTATACATGTTTTTGTTGGTTTCTGTCTCTCTTCCTGTATTTGCAGAAGACATCCTAGATAAGAAACCAGTTGATAAGTTTGTCATAACACTTTGCTTTCTTTCTTTTATTGGTAGAGCTTCATAGTTATTTGATGTCTATTCAATACACATTGAGAATCAATGCTAGTACACTGTATGTGGGCAGGAAGTTTATCTTGTGTTTATTTTTCTATTAGGGATCAGAGAATTGTCACTTTTCTCAAACATAAAATACACTGTCTTATATTTTTGAATTGATCTGACTACTTTATTTGAATCTAGAAAAAATTCAGTACTTAAATGGAAATTTGTGGGAATTTTTTTCACACAGATTGACAGTTTAAAACTGACATTTATTTTTAAAGTATGAACCTCCAATAATTTGCTTAAATAGCATGTCATGATAAAAAAGGCCCCAAACTTAATAAAAAAAAAAAATTATTATTTTCAAAATGTTTACTATTATTAAGAGGAAAGACCAAAGTATTTTTGATTATTTTATTTTTTTTAATCCTTCCTAGTATGTTCAAAACTTGGGTTAAAAATCTTATTCTTGTGTTTCAACAGGGGTACTAAAGATTAGTATAGGAAATTTTAGTGCCCCCCCCCTTTTTTTTCAGCAAAAACAGATTTGGAAATTCTTATAAAAATCAAATAATTGTTGGATTTTAATGAAAGTTTCAGGACTTATTCACAAATGAATGCCATCCTATCAGCTGGGGCTTCAGAATACACCTACTGCACCTATGCAGAGAGAGGTAAAACCTCCCCAATGAGGCAAGCTGTTGGCTCTGGGTGGTGACCTGTGATTCCTGGGGAGGGGATCCTGGTGATTGAAGGCTTCAGGAGGAGGGATAGATTAACTCCTGAATTCCCACACATCACTTTGGCCTTTACCTGGGCTAGATGGGTGGTTGGAGAGGCCTGATCTGATCAACTGGCTGATAATGCAAAGCCCTGATTCAACTTCTTACAAACTCTGGGTGCTGAATCAGAAGACAGTGGCTGTAGGTTCAATCATGCTAAGAAGAGACAATTGTTTCAAGTAGTTAACTTGGGAACTAAGACTTAGGGGGTGGTTAAACAATGGCTCATCATAGTGTGAGTATACTGACTGTATAGCCTTGACCTGCCAAGGTGAATGGAACCCCCCCCCCCAGCATTTCCCCTAGTAGTGCTCTGTGGTGAGTGGGGAGTACAGTCAATGGAGTATAATTTCATTATATGGAAACAGAAAGAAAAACCCAAGTTAAGAGACTCCACATGGAAACTGGTTCTGATCCAGAACAGCCAGAAGTACTCTTTCCTAGATTTATAATACTTGAATCTGCTAACCAAATTATCACTATTGCTCATACAGAAGGTTATATCCTCAGTTGTTAATCTGAAATCTGTAAAAATCTTAAAAAATGGAACCATCCAGATAGAAACATTATTAAAGACTAAAAAATTCCATAACATCTATATAAAAGCATACCCACATGAAAGATTGAACTCCTCTAAAGGTGTGGTTTGTAGTGGAGATCTATCAATTTGTACCATAGAAGAAAAGCTGAGTTAAAAAAACAAAATGTGACAGACATCAAAAGGATAATAGTTAAGATAAAATCAAATAATTAATACTAACACACACACACACATATATATATATATATATATATATATATATATATATAATTAACTTTCAATACTCTGATGCCACCATCTGAAATTAAAATTGGATATTTAATAGCTAAAGTAGAAATATATATTCCAAATCCAAGAAGATGCCATAAATGTCAAAAATATGGAAATCTAAAGGAGTATTGTGCAAGATATGAAGTAATAGAACCAAACCTTGATGATACAATATGTAAAAATCAACCAAAATTTATCAACTGCAATGGAGATCACAGAGCTGATGTTAAAGAGTGCAAGACCTGGGGAAAAAAAAAAAGAAATAATAAGAACTAAAATCACTCAAAAAAATTACATTCCTGGAGGTTAGAAAACTTATAGAATCCTCTTTTTCTTTTCAAAATCATGCAAAAATCACCAAATAAAAATGAAAATCTAGGAAATAACCTGACAAAATAAGACACAATTAACATCATTGATAAATCAATTACAAAACCAGTATAGCAAATATGGAAATAGCTCGCTCTACCAAATTAAATCATAACCCAATAACTGAAGAAAAGGAAAAGAATGAAACGCAAATCAATAAAAAAAACAGACCTATCTCAAAGATGAGAGAAAAAGATGAAAACCAAAAATACAAAAGACATCTCTACCAAAATTTAACGAAAAACCTACAACAGTAAACTTAAACAATTACAAGTTATATAGAGCAATGGCTTGTAGAGCAGTGAAAGAAACCAATAAAGAATGTTGGCAAAAATATGTCAACAAGCTAATCTCCTCAAAAACAAAATCAGTATGGGGAAATGGTGAGGAAAATAGCTGGGAAATGAAACCAATTAAGCATCTTTACAAAAATAACAATATCATGAACAGCAAAACTGATACAGCTGCTACATTAACTGAAACTATTTAATAAATTCTTCAAGTAAAATGGAAAACAAAAATTCCTAGTCCTAAAACAAAATAGAGAAAAATACAAACTTGATTTTCCATATAACAATACAGAAAGCTACAACAATCCACTGAGTTTAGCAGAATTGAAATCGTCCATCAAAAGATGCCATAACACATCAGTTGGACCTGATGATGTCCACTATGAGATTCTAAGACAATTACTGGAAGAATCTTAGAACTTCTTTTAAAAATATACAGTTTTATATAGATAAACAGAAGTTTCGGATATTTGGAAACAAACTACTATAATACCAGTCCCAAAATTTTATCAGAAAGCTAGACCTAATTCACTGACCAGTTCTGTGTAAAACAATGAAAATGATAAAAATTGATCTGGTACTTGGAGGAAATAAGCTAATTATGGATCTACAATGTGGTTTTGGAAAGAAAAAAATGGAATAATCCACTTGGAATTGGCTATAAGAGATTCTTTTGTTCAAAAAGAACACTTTACAGTAATCTTCTTTGAGGAAACTACATGGAGATATGGAATCATGAGGGATCTATCTGCATGCCCTTGGCCTGAAAAGCAAACTAGTGAAATTTTTCTTTAAGGGTTTTTTTTTATTAGCAGAAAATTCAAAGTCCAGGTTGGATCAACTCTCTCTGATCTTTTTTAAAAAAGAAAAGAGTGCCCCAAGGCAGTATTTTATCAGTAACACTGTTCAGTATAAAAATAAATAATATAGTAAAAAATTTAATGTCAGTTGGGAGTAGAAGGACTTTTGTATATAAATAACTTCCTCATTTTTTACAAATCCATACATATGCACACCATAGAAAGACAATTACCGCAGTGTCTTAATAAAGTTAACTAATGGGCAACTGAAACTGGCTTCAGGTTTTCTAAAGTGAAAAATAAATGTATGCACTTCTGTCAGAAGAGAAAACTACACAATAACACTACTTTAAGATTAGAAGAGACTGAAATATCAGTTGTAGATCAACACAAGTTCTTGAGAATAATATTTGATAAAAAGCTCACTTTTATCCCCCATCTGAAATATCTCAAGAAGGAATATAGGAGAGCAATACAGCTCTTTCATGTGATAGCTCACACTAAATGGGGTGCAGACCAGAAAACTTTACGAACAATTTACAGGATACTAATTTGATCAAAACTAGATTATGGCAGCATTATATACAGTTTGTCAAGAAAATCCTGTTTAAAACTCCTTGATTCTACCATCCATGGAAGTTTAAGACTGGTGCTTGGGGCTTTTAAAACATCACGAGTTGAAAGTTTATATGCAGAAGCTGACAAAACTCCTCCTATTTGAAAAACTGGCACTACAGTATTATACAAAACTAAAATCTTGCTCATCTAACCCTTCCTCTATTAACAAAAAAAAAAAAAAAAAAAAACTTTAAATTCCTTTGGGCTTTGAATGGAACTGCTTATTGAGAAGTCTACAATTAGCAACAATGCATGAGAATATTACTCCTAACATTGCTCAAAAAAAAATAAAAAGCCAGGATATAGAA